TTTATTTCCTTATATAAATCAATTAATTTATTTAAATTCTTAATAAACTTTTTCTTTTCAATTATTAAGAAATCATGTGCGTTTTACTTTTCATCCAGCCAATATGAATTATATATAATAAATCTTTATCACTATTTATCTTTCTTCTAATTATCTATTAATAAGCATTCAAAAAATTTTCAATCTAAACAGCAAGCAATACATATATACATAAAAACAAACATAATATAATTAATGCATTCACTCAAACCCAGCTAGCTGATTAATTAATTATAAAGTAAAATTTATATTTTAAGAATAATAATTAATTTGTTTATTTCTATTCTATTTTACTTGTAAATAATAAATAATTGTTATCTATCTCTTTTTTTATTTAAAAATATTGATTTTATTTAGCTGTTTGTTATTTTTTAAACAACTAGTTGCTTCATTTAACTGAACAAAATATGTTATTAATTAATATATTAAAAATAAGAAAGAATTCTTTTTGAATTCTATTATATTTTACTTGTAATTAATAATTGTTATCATTTTTGTTATTTAAAAAAATAGATTTTATTAAATTGTTTGTTCTTTTTAATTTATCTTGCTTATTTAATTAATTCTATTTTAAATTATTTTAGTAAATGAGTTACTTTTGATCCCAACAAATAAATAAATACAATGAACTAGTTGCTTCATTTAATTGAACAAAATATGTTATTAATTAATTTTAATTATAGACCCAATAAAATGTATATTTGGTATTCGGTAATCTGATTAAGTTTTTTTATAAAGTTTTTAGGGAATTATTTAATAATTTTATTTATAATTATTTAATTAATTAATTAGTTTTTATTTCAATAAATAAATTACAAAAAATCTATAAATTAATTTTATTTGAATTCGATTTTAATAATAATGATTATTATCTTATAATAAATATATTTATTTTTTTAATTAATTATTTTATAATTCATTTAATTAAATTTCTTGTTTTTCAATCAATCAATCAATCTACCTATTTGTTTTTATTTATGTTTTTTTGATAGTTAATTTTATTTGATCAAGAGATTTTAACTGAGAAATAAATATTTTCAATATAATATTTAAGCCCATGAATCTTTCTAAAGGAGGATTTAAGCACAAGCTAAGCAGTATTCAATTTTTTAAGTATTTAGATTTCTAGTGTTTTTGTTATTTTTAAAGCAACTAATACAATTATTTTATAGTTCTTTTCTAACGTCATCTAAATTATAATTATCAATGCAATCATATATCATAATGTCTCTCTTTAAATCAATTTAGATATGCATCTTCTATCCTAAACATTCATTCTTCCCTGCTTTAATTTGAATCCAAGTTCTATAAAATTTTATTAATTATTATTATAATAAATTATTTATTTAAAAAATCAAATTAAATTTAAAAAAACTTAATTCATCTCTAAACTAAAATTATCTTTATTTTCTCATTATTTATCAACAAAAATAACCAAAAATCCGTTTAATTTATTAAGCAAACAAATCTTTTGACAATTTTAAGACAAAAATTAATTCTTTCTTTCTTATTTTATTTAATCAAAAAGCGA